TGTGCCTGGGGGATGATCCTGAGGCGCGACGTTCTGAGCATCTTTAACGCGGTCTATCGGTTCATGGGGGCTGTGGGACCCCATCCTGGACCCTTGTGGCCCTCCGTCGTCAGGGAGTTGTCGGCTGCCGTGGCCCTCATCCCGCTCTGGAGTGCCTCTACAAGGTCTCGCTGGTATCCACGGGTGTATGCGTCTGATGCGTCGCCGTTCGGCAAGGGTGTCTGTGTCGAGGAGGTCTCCCCTACGCTGTCGTCCGAGGTCGGCCGAGTCGCCGAACGTTGGAGGTATCGTCATGGGGATGCTGTGCCTGCCAGATCACACGCCCTAGACGTCGACGGTCGAGGCGATGCTGCCGACGGTTGCCGTGCCGACACATCGTCTACTGCTCGTACTGCTTCGTCGGCTGGGCTCAGTGGGTTCTACGAGGTTCCTGAGTCCATCTACGGGGCCGAGGGTTGGAAGACCATTCACTCTAGCCGTCACACCCGACGGGGCTGCGATATCCTTCAGTACGAGGCGGAGGCCCTGGGGTTCAGCGTCCATCACGCTTCGAGGGCCCTGAGTGCTCATCATCATCGCGTCGTCTGTATTGTGGACAATTTGGCTCTAGCCCTTTCGGTCGGCAAGGGGCGGTCTGGGAGCCGTCATCTTCTCCGCGCCCTTCGGCGCATCGCTGGCGTGGCCCTCGCCTGTGGCCTGCGCCTGCTCGTGCGGTGGGTGCCGTCAGAGAGGAACGTCGCGGACAAGCCGTCGAGGGAGGGCTTCTTCGTCGGCCCTAGCTTCGAGGACGTCGGGTCGTACCTCGTCTCGCGCCGCCTGCGGATCCCCCACGGAGCTGATCAAGGCGGCGCGGGGCCAGCGGGTGCAGCCTGGTCCGCTGACTCTCCTGCGGGGCGGGCGGTCGGTGCTGGAGGCCTGCGCGGTCTCGGAGCCGACGGGCAGGTACTACCACGCCTCCGCCCTCAGGCTTCTGAACTGGTGCCTCTGGACCGCCAGGGACTTCGCGAACAGCGTCGAGCTCGTCGCGATCCCCGTGGTGTCCTTCGTCCACCTGTTCCTCGGCGGGTACGACAGTGCGACGGGCCGCGTCACGATGGCCGCTCTGAAGCACCAGTTGCCGTCGATGCTGATGGGGAGCCGGCCGCTGCCACGGGCCTTGCGGGCCCGCCAGGGCAGGACGAAGCGTGTGCCGCCGCAGACGCTCCTCCCGCTGCCGAGGGTCGCGAGGTTCGTCATCGTGGGCGTGCGGGTGTCTCGGGGCCTTCTGTCGCAGGCGGCCCTCGTGAGGATTGCATTCGGCACATGCCTGCGCCCCAGCGAGGCCTACCGACTCACGGCGGCCACCCTGATCGCTCCGAGGTCGGGCCCCACGGACGGCTACCAGCACTGGGCGTTGCTGGTGATCGACGCGGCGAGCGGGGGGCGTGGCAAGACGGGGGAGACCGTCGAGCGCGTCATCGTCGACGATCCGCCTCTCTGGCCTCTCCTCGAGGCGTTGCGGCAAGGCCGCAAGGAGGAGAGCCTCTGCGCCTTCACGCCACACCAGCTGCGGCTCGCCTTCGCGGAGGCCCTGGTCCTCCTCGGCATGGACGTGATGGCGAGGACGGGCTTCCTCTCGCTGCCGCTGCCGCCCCTGAGGCCGCTGTCGGCGTCACCGCCGGTGCAGACGGCTCCCGTGGGGGCCGTCATGTGGCTCTTCGAGTGAGGCGCCTGTGGCGACGAGCGCGGGCGCATGCCACTGTAATGCCATACCTCATCATGCTCTGCACCTGTGTCCCCGACCGTGTACGGCGAGTGTGTGAGGCCCGCGGGCTCGGCACCGTAGCGGTGAACGTTGCTCGTCACCGCCTAGACGACCTCGCTGACCCTCAGGTCTTGAAGGCTCTGACTGGCTGGGTCCGCGGCTCAGCTGTGCTCGGTGTCTGGGCATCCTTGCCCTGGGACACCTGGGCGCCAGGGGCCGCGCGTGTCCGCAAGGTTCATTCTCTGTTGCACGTACATAGAGCCTCAGAGGCCGCCTGTCGTGCCGTGCGAGTTGCCAACGCGCTGACAGATTCCACCTTCAAATTGATTGCTGAATGTATCTTCCGCCGAGTCCCGATCATTTTTATGCACCCTGAGTCGAGCCTCATCTGGAGGCATCCCCGCTTGTCCCCTCTCCTTGCCTCGTCCTCCTCTTCCTGCTCCCTCGACTCTTGCATGTATGCGGGTCGCGTGAGACAGCGAATCCACCTTGTCGGTTGGGGCGTGCGGGACCTTGAGTGCCTCGCTCGTCGTTGCCTCTGCGCCCAAGGCCTTTGTGATCGCACTCAGAGACGTCACCTGGGAGGCCTAGGGCGTCCAGCTCTTGACGCCGTAGCTCGGGCCTCTGCTAAGGGTATCCCCTCAGAAGTGGCAATTGCTGGCACTGAAATGATAGTGGCCGAAGCTCGTCATTTGTCCCGCGCCGCGAGATATAAGAAAATTTTTGGTCAATGAGTAATTCGGCTGTTGCCACCTGGTCAGACTAGCGTGTAGTACCGAGTCTGTGCTTCACAGCTGGCGTAGCGCTCGTGGCCGCCCTCCGCCGTTCGCACAAAGATGAAACAAGATGGCCCCGACTCGACCACATATAGCGACTTGTCGGCATTTGTGGTAACTCCGCGGCCGTATTCCCTCGCTCAAGTTCTACCCTGGGCCCTCCCACCCACTTGAGCTAATGTTTCTCCGAGTCTGTGCTTCGCAGCTGGCGAAGCGCTCGTGGCCGCCCTCCGCCGTTCGCACAAAGATGAAACAAGATGGCCCCGAATCGACCACATCAACATCATCGTCATCAACGTCATCAGCATCATCATCATCGGGACACCATCATCATCATCACCTCATCACCATCATCATCAACATCACCATCACCATCACCATCATCAGCATCATCATCACCATCGGGACACCATTATCGTCACCATCATCATCATCAACATCATCATCATCACCATCGGGACACCATCATCATCATCGGAGCACCACCATCATCACCATCATCGCACCTCATCTCATCATCATCATGAACAACACCATCAACATCATCCTCATCATCGGGACACCATCATCATCATCAGCAACATCATCACCAACAACATCATCATCGTAATCATTATTGGGACACCATCATCATCGTCACCATCATCATCATCATCACCATCATCATCATCATTATCATCGGAACACCATCATCATCATCAACATCAACATCATCATCACCGACGGGCCACGATCATCAACATCATCATCACCACCTCACCATCCTCCTCCTCCTCATCATCATCATCATCGGGACACTATCATCGTCATCATCATCATCAACATCATCATAATCATCGGCACACCATCATCACCATCACCATCATCATCAACAGCATCATCAGCAACCTCCTCCTCCTCCTCATCATCATCATCGGGACACCATCATCATCATCATTTCCATCATCCACCATCTCATCATCATCATCTTCTCATCATCGCGCCATCATCATCAACATCATCAGGATCATCAACATCATCATCATCGGAATATCATCATCATCATCAGCAACATCATCATCAACATCATCATCATCATCATCATCGGGACACCATCATCACCACCATCACCATCAGCATCATCATCAACATTGTCAACATCATCATCATCAGCATCATCGGGACACCATCATCATCATCGTTATCATCATCATCATCATCATCATCATCATCATCATCATCATCATTTTTATCATCATCATCATCAACATCATTGACATCCCCATCATCATCATCATCATCATCATCATCATCATCATCATCATCATCATCATCATCATCATCATCGGGACACCGACGGGACACCAGCGGGACACCGGCGGGACACCGCGCGGCACCGGCCCCTGGAAAGGAAACATTTGGTCCGGCCGCGCCTCAGCCGGAGGCGGGACACCGGCGGGACACCGCGCGGCACCGGCCCCGGGAGAGGAATCATTTGGTCCGGCCGCGCCTCAGCCGGAGGAGACTTTCTTCTCTCCCGCCCACGCAGCTTCGCCTCGCCCGCACGCACGGCACGCGCGAACACGAAACCGAAACCGATTTCCTGGTAGAGGGGCTCTCCGTTCCACTTCGATCTCCCTCCCTCACCTCCGATCTTGCAGTTGCCGTCCAGCGCCTTGGTGCAAAATGCCATACTGTCCTAGTACTTGGCGGCTTCGTCCTTCTTGGGCCTGGCCTACACCTCCATCTCGATGGGCTCGTCTAGCTGGTGGTAGTGCATGTTGTCGGCTCTGCCCACTTCCAGCCACCTCTGAATGTAGTTTATCTCCAAGAGGCCCGATGCTGTGACGGGCTCAGACAGCAATGTGCTCAGGCTCTTTCTCTCGAAATCCTGCCTGTGCTCCTCACTAAATTGTTTCTTGGGCTTCCTCATCGCTAGTTGGTTCTGTTCTTGTCCGTTGGTGGCCTCCTTCTTTTTGCCTTTGAGGGTCCACCTGCAGAGCCTGTGCCACAGCTTGGCAAAGGACTTTTATGTTCTCGTGTCCTCCGTGTTCGTGAACCGCTTCAGCTTCTCGAACTTATCGAGCAGCGGGGCCCGTCTCCTCCTGGCGGAGGAGAGGAGAGGAGAAGGGAGGGAGGAGGAGGAGCAGCGTCACCAGGACAATGAGGGCTGGGGAGATCATGACCATGTGCAGTAATCGGGTGGGAGGGGGGAAGGGGGTCAGGGCAGACGGGGATACGATGAGGAGAGTGTGTGCCTTACGCGGGGATACTGATCATCACGCCATCACCGCACACGTGAGGATCCGGATTTCAAATGACGAGCAAGAATATGCCCATGGCAAAGTCGCGCAAGCTGGTGTGGGAGTGGGAGCAAGTACGGCAGCGTCAGCAGGTAAGGAACAAAGACAAGGGACGAGCGTGTACGAGACGGCCGCCTCTTCCCCCTTCCCTGGCTCGAGGGAGTGCCGCATGCATCAGAGGCCGTCCGGTCGCGCTCGATGACTCCAGATGGGGGCGGTGCCGCCAAGAAGTGGAGGTGCACGACTTGTCTGCTCGAGTGGGACGCGAGCCTCATCAAGTGCAAGGCCTGCGAGAGCTTCCAACCTGGCTTGTCCGAGGGCGACATCGAGAAGTTGAAGGCCGCCGAGGAGAAGCAGAAGAGCGAGACGATCGCCAAGTTCCTGGGCACGTCTGCGCCCAAGCCGGCGGGCCCCAGCTCTCGCTTCGGGGCGTCGCCCTCCACTGGCGGCTTCACCTTCGGCGCCTCCCCGGGGCCCTCGGGCGACGCCTCGTCTGGCGTCGCGTTCGGCTTCGGCGCGGCGGCGGCAGCGGCGCCAGCCAGCGGCGGCGGCGTCGTCTTCGGCTTCGGCGCCGCGGGCAGCTGCGCCGGCGATGGCACCGCCCCTGCGCCCTCGAGCGGCGGGGTCGTCTTCGGATTCGGCGCCCCTGGGGGCGGCGGCGCAAGCGCCAGCGGGGGCGCCGCTTCGGCGCCACCCGGTGGCGGCCTCTTCTCCTTCGGCACAGCAGCGCCCCTGGCCGCGGCGCCGCTGGGTGGCGGCAGCGTCGGCTTCGGCGCCGCCGGCGTCGGCCAGGCTGCGGGCGCGGGCGCGCCGGCGGGGGGCGGCTTCCGGCCCACGCTGGCCCTGGCGCCGAAAGTGAAGCAGCTGGAGCGCCTGCCGGACTGGGGGCGCGCCGGCGAGCTGCCAGGCGGGGATGTGCTCGTCCATGGCAGCGGGGAGTGCGACCAGCTCGGCCTGGGCGACGCGCAGCGGGAGAGGCAGAAGCCCACGGTCGTGAGGGGGCTGCCCCAGGCTCGCATCGTGGACTTGGCTGTGGGCGCGCTGCACGTCGTGTGCCTCGCCGCGGACGGCCGCCTCTGGTCGTGGGGCTGCAACGACGACGGGGCGTTGGGTCGAGTGTCGAGCGACACCTCGGACTGCGAGCCGCACCCGGTGGAGATGCCCTCTGGCGTCGTCGTGCGGAGGATGTCCTGCGGGGACAACCACACCTGTGCCCTGGACACCCTGGGGCGGGTCTGGCTGTGGGGAACCTACAAGGACTCCAACGGCCACATCGGCATAGCCCGCAAGAGGAAGCAGGGCGGCGTGCTCGAGAAGAGCTCAGAGCCGGCGGTGGTGCTGGAGGGCTGCGACCAGGTGGCCAGTGGCGCCAACCACACCGTGGCCAGGCAGATCCGGCCCACTCGCAAGGTCTTCGCCTGGGGGTCCAACGGCTGCGGCCAGCTCGGCCTCCTCGGCGGCGCGGGCTGCGGCCTGGCGGAGCACACGCTGCCGATCGAGGCGGGCAAGGCGCCGGGCCAGCTGAAGCCGCGCGTCGGGGGTGGCACGGAGGTGGACGGGCAGCGCCTGTCCCGCGTCATCGAGGCCTCTGGCTCCGAGCGGGGCGCCGAGGGCATGAGGCCGGCGGAGGTCCAGCAGGCCGCCGCGGGCGGCGCGCGAGCGCTGGTGGTGGAGCTGCCAGACCGAGAGGTCCCCAAGCCGGAGAAGCAGAACGTCCTGGTGCCGCAGGAGATGTCGCTCGATGCTCTCAGCTCCGGCGTGTCGGGCGTGTTCGCGAGCTCGGAGTGCACCTTCCTCACCACGGAAGGCTCCAGTGTGCACGGCTGCGGCCTGAACGGCGACGGGCAGGTCGGGCTGGGCTTCATGAGCATGGCGGTGCTGACGGTGCGGGAGATGCCGGGCGTGGCGGGCGCGTCGTGGGTCGGCGGCGGCCTGCATTTCACCGCCGCCCTGGTGGGCGGCAAGGTGCTCACGTGGGGCAAGGCCGAAGAGACGGGCCATGGCCTCGGTGCTTCTGCGCCCCCAGTGCTCCAGCCGCGCGCGCTGGCGGGCCTGCCGGAGATCCGCACCCTGCGGTGCGGAGGCAGCCACTCCCTCGCCTGCTCGGCGGGCGGCGACGCCTTCGCCTGGGGCTGCGGCCTGACGCACCAGCTGGCGAACCGGCCCAGGGACTTCTCGGACCCGGCGGACGCGGACGAGGACCCAGAGGACGAGCTGCGGCCCTACCGCATCTCGTCCAAGCAGCTGGAGGCGAAGTTCGTGCTGCTGGCCGACGGCGGGGCGCAGCACAGCGTGGAGCTCGCGTGGGGCGGCGAGTACTGCAAGGTCGGCGCAGACACCGAGGCCGCGCCGGCCGGGGAGCCCGAGGCCGCCCGCGCGGCGGCGGCGGACGAGCAGCCAGCCGCGAAGAGGCCGAAGACTGAGGCGCCGGCGCTCCCCACTCCTCCTCCTCCTTCTCCTCCTCCTCCTCCCTCCCCCCCTCCTCCTCCTCCTCCTCCTCCTCCTCCCCCTCCTCCTCCCTCCTCCTCCTCCCTCCTCCTCCTCCTCCTCCTCCTCCTCCTCCTCCTCCTCCTCCTCCTCCTCCTCCAGCCCCTCCTCCTCCTCCTCCTCCTCCTCCTCCTCCTCCTCCTCCTCCTCCTCCTCCTCCTCCTCCTCCTCCTCCCCCTCCTCCTGTTTCTCCTCCTCTTCTTGCCCCGAGAATGAGGCCGGTTCTAGCCTCTTGCGTTTGTTCAGAAGCTAACTGGCACCGACTGCAACCACCCAATTGGATGTTTGCATCCAGTTTTCTTTCGGGCAGTAGAGGGGCTTTCTTCGGGTGACCTCTCTCTACGCGGCTAGGGCCAACGAGCATTCCAGTAGCTACTTATATGTATGAGAGTTAGCGTTACAATGACAATAGTTGGTTTGGTCTAGCCACGTAGTTAGCTCTAGCCGCCTCCTCCTCCTCCTCCTCCTCCTCCTCCTCCTCTACAGATCTACCTCCTCACTCCTCCTCACTCCTCTCACTCCTCTCCTCCTCCTCCTCCTCCTCCTTTTACTCCTCCTCCTCCTCCTCCTCCTCCTCTCCTCCTCCTCCTCCTCCTCCTCCTCCTACCACGGGCGCTCCCCACTCCTCTTCAGCTGACGCTTGTTTTTTTTCCCAACCATCCTGTGGTGTTGGGTCCTCGTTTTGAGAAGACGTCGCCCCGCGTTCTCCTCCTCCTCCTCCTCCTCCTCCTCCTCCTCCTCCTCCTCCTCCTCCTCCTCTCCTCAGCGCCAGGCAAAGGCGCGAAGAGCCTGAGGTTGCACCGCATGCTGCAGGCCGAGCAGTGGAGTGGGCCCTGCGTCTTTCCCCCTCGCGACGTGCTTCGCGGAGGCGGCAGCGACGAAGGGAGGCCCCCCAAGCCCAGCCGCAGCCGGCGGCGCGCCGACCGCAGGCTGAAACTCGCCACCTGCAGGCAAGCTGTCTGGGACCTCTACACCCTCACTCCACCCTGGTGGGGGTCGCCGTGGGAGGTACATACGGAGGACGGGCAGTGGAGGCCGCCAGAGTGGATAGAGCCCGACGTGAGCCCGCTAGTCGCCACAGCTGGACAGGGGCAGCGTCACGAGAGGGCGACCAGTTCGTGCGAGAAGGACGGGCAGTGGCTGCCTGCAGTGGAAACAACCAGCTCGTGTGAGAAAGACGGGCAGTGGCAGCTGCAGGAAGGCGCTGGCTGTACACGTGTGAACGACGGGCAGTGGCAGGTGCGAGAAGAAGGCGGCGAAGCGGGGCAAACACGTGATCAGCCACAACTCGGGAACATCTGCGCTATCTACACCCTGAAACACTCTACCTCGTTCCCCCTCGTCGCCACGGCTGGACCAGAAAACAGGAATGGCGAGAAGACGGGAGAGGCGAAAGTAGAGAAGGACGGACAGTGGCAGCGTCAAGAAAGAGTGACCAGCTCGGGCGAGAAGGGCGAGCAATGGCTGCTACGAGAGGCTGTCGGTGCTTGCGAGAAGGGAAGGCAGTGGCAGCTTACAGCAGATGCAACCAGTACGTGCGAGAAGGACGGGCAGTGGCGGCTACGAGAGGCTGTCGGTACGCGCGAGGAGGGCTGGCAGTGGCAGCCTACAGCGGATGCAACCAGTTCGTGCGAGAAGGGCGGACAGTGGCTTCTACGAGAGGCTGTCGGTGCGTGCGAGAAGGGCTGGCAGTGGCGGCCTACAGCGGATGCAACCAGTTCGTGCGAGAAGGCAGGGCAGAGGATGCTACGAGAGGCTGTCGGGGCGTGCGAGAAGGGCGGGCAGTGGAAGCCTACAGCGGACGCAACCAGTTTGTGCGAAAAGGACGGGCAGTGGCAGCTCTGGGACGGCAGTGGCGGTGCTCGCGAGAAGGGCGGGCAGTGGCAGCCGGCAGCGGATGCAACCAGTTCGTGCGAGAAGGACGGGCAGTGGCAGCTCGGGGACGGCAGTGGCTGTGCGCGCGAGAAAGACGGGCGGTGGCAGGTGCGAGAAGAAGCGGGCGGTGTAGCGGAGCCCCCACGTGATCAGCTACAATTCGGAAATCAGCGCGGCACAAGCATGGCTATGTGGAAATCCCGTGCTGAAATCGCCAAGGTGTGGCTGGCGGACGGAGACAAAACGATAAAGCCCGACATCATCAACTACAGCGCTGGGAACAGCGCTTGCGAGAAGCTGCAGCGGAATACGAAGGCGAGAAATAATACCAACGACATCAGCTACAGCATAGAAAGCGGTGCAGAGACCGTCACCTGCAGCGCGAGGGAGCAGAGCAGAGCGGCTTCGCACCACGAGAAGTGGCTGGCCAAGCGGTTCGGGCGAAAGGCGAAGCTGGAGCCCAATTCCTACCTAGCTAGCTACTCCGACGTGGGAGCGAAGACCAGAGTCGTCAGGGCACAGCCGACACTCGAGGAGTGGATATACGGCCCTGGCGGGTGATGCTGGCGTGGACGCGGGAGTACGGCGTGTGCACGACCAGCTGAGGGTGGCGCCCGAGCACGGCCGCCCCATACCCTGCATGGGAGCCCCTTGAGAATGGGGGCATACCTGGGGGAGGGGCACAGCGCCGAGGTCGGGCCCCAGACTTGCACCCGCAAGAGGCCGAAATCCATGAAAATCTCCTCCTCCTCTCCTCTCCTCCTCCCCCTCCTCCTCCCACTCCTCCCTCCTCCCCCTCTTCCTGCGTTTCACCCACCCAGTACAGCGTTTCGTAGCCCCGTAGGGAGCTCCACCGAAGGCCCCAGTGGCAGCGTTCGCATGGCGGCCTCGGGCCATTTCGGCACACCCCTCACGGGGATCGTGGCCCCATAGGGAGCTCCACCGAAGAACCCCAGTTGCAGCGTTCGCATGGCGGCCTCGGGCCATTTCGGCATACCCCTCACGAGGACCGTGGCCCCGTAGGGAGCTCCACCGAAGGCCCCAGTGGCATCTTTCGCATGGCGGCATCGGGCCATTTCGGCACCTCACGAGGATCGTGGCCCCATAGTGAGCTCCACCGAAGGCCCCAGTGGCAGCGTTCGCATGGCGGCCTCGGGCCATTTCGGCACACCCCTCACGAGGATCGTGGCCCATAGGGAGCTCCACCGAAGGCCCCAGTGGCAGCGTTCGCATGGCGGCCTCGGGCCATTTCGGCACACCCCTCACGAGGATCGTGGCCCCATAGGGAGCTCCACCGAAGGCCCCAGTGGCAGATTTCGGCACACCCCTCACGTGGATCGTGGCCCCATAGGGAGCTCCACCGAAAAACCCCAGTGGCAGCGTTCGCATGGCGGCCTCGGGCCATGTCGGCACACCCCTCACGAGGATCGTGGCCCCATAGGGAGCTCCACCGAAGGCCCCAGTGGCAGCGTTCGCATGGCGGCCTCGGGCCATTTCGGCACACCCCTCACGAGGATCGTGGCCCCATAGGGAGCTCCACCGAAGAACCCCAGTTGCAGCGTTCGCATGGCGGCCTCGGGCCATTTCGGCATACCCCTCACGAGGATCGTGGCCCTATAGGGAGCTCCACCGAAGACCCCCAGTGGCAGCGTTCGCATGGCGGCCTCGGGGCATTTCTGCACACCCCTCACGAGGATCGTGGCCCCATAGGGAGCTCCGAAGGCGCCAGTGGCAGGGTTTGCACGGCGGCCTCGGGCCATTTCAGCTCACGAGGATCGTGGCCCCACAGGGGGCTCCACCGAAGGCCCCAGTGGCAGCGTTCGCATGGCGGCCTCGGGCCATTTCGGCACACCCCTCACGAGGATCGTGGCCCCATAGGGAGCTCCACCGAAGGCCCCAGTGACAGCGTTCGCATGGCGGCCTCGGGCCATTTCGGCACACCCCTCACGTGGATCGTGGCCCCATAGGGAGCTCCACCGAAGGCCCCAGTGGCAGCGTTCGCATGGCGGCATCGGACCATTTCGGCACACCCATCACGAGGATCGTGGCCCCATAGGAGCTGCGCCGAAGGCCCCAGTGGCAGCCTCCCTCATGGCTTTCAGAGCCCTCTCCTGCTTCTGCTCCTTGGTCAGGGGGGCGCCGTCCTCGTCGTCGTCGGCGCCCGCGAAGATGGCCACGAACGTGTCCCTGAGCATGTCGGGCTCTGGCGGGAAGTTGTGGCCACATCGGGAGCGCGGGCGAAGATGTTATTCACAATTGCGGTAGTCACAACTGCGTATGGTTGGGTCTTTCGCCAGGCTAATTTGTTTTTTGCCCTACGGTGACCACGTCGCAGGGGCCCCATGCAACGGGGCAGCGAGGAGAAGGGCCCGCGAGAGCAGCCCTAGCTTCGCCCGCCCCTGGCAGTTCCTCGGGCCAACTAAGCTGGTAGAGGGGTTGCTTCCATGAAGTTCCCAGGGGTCAAAGTGCTCAGAGTTGTGGACAGCACGAACCCCGACGGCCTTATCTTTTTTCCTTATCCTTATCCTTATCCTTATCCTTATCCTTATCCTTATCCTTATCCTTATCCTTATCCTTATCCTTATCCTGATCCTTTCATCCTTATCCTTATCCTCCTATCCTTATCCTTATCCTTATCCTTATCCTTATCCTTATCCTTATCCTTATCCTTATCCTTATCCTTATCCTTATCCTTATCCTTATCCTTATCCTTATCCTTATCCTTATCCTTATCCTTATCCTTATCCTTATTATCCTTATCCTTATCCTTATCCTTATCCTTATCCTTATCCTTATCCTTATCCTTATCCTTATCCTTATCCTTATCCTTATCCTTATCCTTATCCTTATCCTTATCCTTATCCTTATCTCCTTATCCTTATCCTTATCCTTATCCTTATCCTTATCCTTCTCCTTATCCTTATCCTTATCCTTATCCTTATCCTTATCCTTATCCTTATCCTTATCCTTATCCTTATCCTTATCCTTATCCGTATCCTTATCCTTATCCTTATCCTTATCCTTATCCTTATCCTTATCCTTATCCCTATCCTTATCCTTAT